GGATAGAGTGTCAGCCTGCGGACTCAAGGGTCCCGGGTTCGATTCCGGTCAAGGGCATGTGTCTTGGTTGGGGGCACATCCCCAGTGGGGAGTGTGCGGGAGGCAGCTGATCGGTGTTTCTCTCTCATTGATGTTTCTGACTCTTTATCCCTCTCCCTTCCTCTCTGTAAAAAATCAATAAAATATATTTGAAAAAAAAATAGTGCTTCATATCTTATATTAATGAAAGCAGTTCTTTTTTAAAAAAATATATTTTATTGATTTTTTACAGAGAGGAAGGGGGAGAGATAGAGAGTTAGAAACATCGATGAGAAACACAGATCAGCTGCCTCCTGCATATCTCCCACTGGGGATATGCCCGCAACCAAGGTACATGCCCTTGACCGGAATCGAACCCGGGACCCTTCAGTCCACAGGCCGACGCTCTATCCACTGAGCCAAACCGGTTTTGGCGAAAGCAGTTCTTTATACACTGGAAAAATGGCCGTCTGGCAGTGGAGTCTTCCTTGGAGAACCTTTAGTGCCTCTGGTCTCCCAGTTACTGCCCTTGGGGCCCTTCTGACCTCCTCCCTCCCCATCGCAACAACAGTGGGACAGAATAAGGCAGCTCATTGCTGACCAGTTGTTGAGACACAGAGCTCTCTAACCCCAAATGTGCTCTCGGTAAATGATTTTTAAGAGCTTCAAAATCTGAGTCATGCTACTTTTCCTCAGCAATAATATGCAAACTCCCTCTAATCTTTCTAATGCAATAGGAAAAAGAAGAAAAACGTTCAATAAGAACCTTCTACTTTGGTTATCACTGGGACAGAAAAGGACAGAGGATGAGGAAAGAAAGAAAAGGGAAACAAGGAAGAATTCAATTCAAAGGGGCAAAGTTGAAATAGGCTTTTAGGAGACAAAGTCAGAGCCCTCAAGCTAACATTTCAAAAAAACACCCACTTTGGCCTTCCATTAATTAAGTGGAAAACAAATACCCAGATTTTCAGTGGTAAGACTCCTTTCTTGGGATGCTATTTAATCCTATTTGCATCTTCAATTGACAGGTACAATGGCAAATGCAAAGAAAATACATAGTTTTTGTCTCAGAAAGCGCCCTGATTATTTCCAACAAGTATGCCAGAGTACATACACAAGGCAGGTCTCATCCCACCTTCTCAGTCAACATATTACTGTAACAAAATATACAGCCAATTGGAAATCGCTACACTAGAAATAGATATAAGCCACATATTCATTATCACTTTAAGGAATGAAATTAAAGTACAGCATTACATGAATTAGAAAAATATTTTAAAATTTGCATTTACTTGCAGCTCAATTCTTTTGTGCAATGGTATGAATATGACAACTGATCCTTTTATATTTCTACTTTGGTATAATGACTTTGCTTTTTTAAAAAACTGAAACTGGTATTCTATAAGGATCTGTATTGCTATATGGTGAAAAATTTTCACTGATTCATGCCAGAAATCAAGAGAAAATAAGATTTACGAATAAATCATATTTGATCATCTATTAAAGCATAATCAAGCTTCAAAATGCATTTGAAGGAAACTAATTGAAACAAGTCACACCTTTGTGCCATTTCCAGATAATTTTACTTGAATTATTTTGTAAATGTACAGAATTCAGTTTGTGGAGCCACTTAGTCACGAGTTTACTGATTTTAGCAAACTAATTTATTACATTAAATTTGCTCACTGAAAAAATAGCTGGCTGTTTCTGAAAATGTTTATTAAAATATATAGAAAAGGCCTTTCTTATATTTAAAGATGCCCAAGTATAACAGGTACCATGATATAGTAATTATTTACAATATATTTTCAGTGACAATGTTCAGATTAAATGCAGAAAAGAAAACATCACATTTAAAAAACTTGATATTTCCATTGGTTCTTTGTGTTCTGCAATTGGAAGATAACTTCACAAGTTTAGTTTTCTATCTATTCCAAGAGATTTGTGTTGAAGTTTTTCTCCACCATTAGGAACTGTGATTCTCTGTGAGACCTCCTCAGTTTGGCACGCCGATTTTGGAACCATATCTAAAATTAGGAAGAAATAAAATAGATCTCAGAAACTCTCTTTCATTATTCTTAACATTTCAATCATCAGGAATAACAACTAAATTTGAAAATTACCTGGATTCTGTCTTCCTCTAGATTCAATTTTCGAGCTAAGTCTTCTCTGATATCAATGCCAGGATAGCAGTTTACTCTAAAGACATTTTCCAACACTTCAATCTAAGAATAAGGAAATAGTTATTTAAAATGTTGCTTCTTGGAATGTCATTATAAAATGGACTTTAATTTGTATAGCAAAGTAATTTCATTTAAATCTTGGACAATTATTTTGTATGTCTTTTTAAAAAAATGACTACCCACAAACTGTTAAAAATGACACATTCTGTTGTTTTATTAATAACGCCTAAATTGAAATCCCAAAGTGAATGGGCTTTTGCTCAACAGGGTGTCAATTTAAGTCTTTGTATTATTATTAGTTGAAGAAACTTCCCACCTGGTTTTGAGTAAAAGCAGTTCTTGGTCTTCTGCCTCTATACCAGCTCAACTCTCTTTTCAAAGACAGTCTTTCTGAGGTTGAGAAGTAACTTTCATATTTCATAACTCTTTCTTCTGGCACTGGGTGATCCACAGTACAAGAGAATAAAATCCCATTTGGAAGGCTTGGGACATGTAGATATAGGTTAACATCTTTCTCTAAAAACAGAAAAATAAACTCCATGTTAGAAGTCCAATCCCACATTCAACAAAGTTCTATAAGAATTTCAGGAACTTGACTTTAATTTTTCTAGTGACATTCTTCTGCATTTCATAAGAGACTTGACCTCTCATCAACCAAAACCAAAAAGCAAATCAAAATGAAAATGCTGCCTTGGTGAGAGAGGACCTTTTGGTCTCTGAATGTCACTTATTTTTCAGGGAAAAAAGACTTAGAATATCTCATGTGTCAAATAAACACAGAGATCTGCAGGTGCGTGGCCTTTCCTGTGAGTGAACACTATACCCACTGGATTCAAGGCTGATAGTCTTTTTATTTCCCATAGGACTCAGCTGGAGATATTAAAAGTCCTAGATACTTTAGTTATGTAACTGGATGAAACTGCAGTTTCTTTTTAACTCTAGGTAATATAAAATTAAAGGCCAGATTAAACAGTGCAAAAGAAGTAAAAGAGTTTAAAAATTAAGCATACCTGAGGAGCTGCAGGTGTCTGCCCAAGGCCGGTGGGGTTTCATGGATGGAACACTGTCTTTCTTCTGGTCCAGTCCTAAAATGCTCTCAATTGAAAAGGAGCAGGGCGAGGGTTTGCTTTCCCCAAGCCGAGCGCCCTCCTGAAGGCTAGGAGACATCCTCCCGTTGGCTGCACAGGGTCGGCAGCTCTGGCCTCTGTGCACCTCTTGCCTGGCTCTGCCCCACACGTACAGGGCAGTGATCTTTCTGCAGGTCACGGTAGGGCTCTGCTGACAAGGGGGCTGGATTTAGAATGTCACTAATTAAAATCCTGTCTTAGAAAGTTTTAGCAAGTCAATGAACACCCGGTCAGCAGCTTGAGGAGTTAATTGTTTATTTGTTTGCAAAGTAATTAGCAACTAATGGCTACACCAGGGGGGCCACCTACAGGGACAAAATGTGTTATCTCTCCTAAGCAGAACACAGACTTAACTTTCTCAAAAGAAGTGATGCACAAACTAGCACTCCTCTTTTATTTGAAACCATTAATGCATAAAATCATGCTTTTATTCTGAAGTTTATACTTTCATGGACTCCAGTTACCTAAACACACAGGCAAGATAGGAAAGCAGTCAAGTAATAAATAATCTAATTTAAGTGAATTTCCTTCCAAAGAAATTGGAAAAAGTAATAATCTCTTAATGCTATTACGGTAATTCTGATGAAAATTCCTGTTTTTCATATGCATATGTAATAGTAAATGTTGTCAATGACAGCACAATAGTATTTGGAGTGCAGCATACTGGAAAAGGTTGGCAAAGTTATTAACGCTGAGTGTAATTGTCTTCCAAGTGCCTGAATTAATTCATAAGAAACAGTTGCACCAAGTATTTTAAATAATTAATGAGAAAATTCCTTCTTTCATCTTTTGTTTTAAATGCGAGAGATAGAAATTTATATAAAGATTCATATGTAACTATCTCCAAGCAATTTAAAAGCAAGGCTTCAACTTAAAGGGAAGGATTTCTCTCACCATAGTTATTTCAAAGAAAAGAACATAGTGTACTGTCTTTTTTAAAAGAAAAATTTCCCTCTGAGGGATTGGGGGGTTTCCATGAAGACAATAGGTTTGTGAAAAATAACCAAGAACAGAATGTTTTAAATTTGTAATCTTAAGAAAAACTGAAATTAAGAGAAGAATATAGCTGCTAGTTGGGAAGATTCTGAAGTGGCCGCTCCCTGCAAAAGGTACGGTACTTTTAGTTCTGTGCTCTGCTGTAGCTCTTCTCCCAGTCCCTTCCTGACGGTCAGCTTTATCATGCTTTTAAACAACTCCTGGACTTTACCTCAGGAAAAATAGTCTGCTCATAGAGGAAATAGCCTTTACAGGATGGAACTCAACCGCATATTTTATCCCCTCATGATGTCATAAACATTATGCCAAATTCTCCTATGCAAGCTCTAGAGCAGGGGTCCTCAAACTACGGCCCGTGGGCCACATGCAAATACAAATATTGTATTTGTTCCCGTTTTGTTTTTTTACTTCAAAATAAGATATGTGCAGTGTGCATACGAATTTGTTCATAGTTTTGTTTTTTTAAACTATAGTCCGGCCCTCCAATGGTCTGAGGGATAGTGAACTGGCCCCCTGTTTAAAAAATTTGAGGACCCCTGCTCTAAGGTGAACAAAAGATTCATATAAAAAACATCAACAGGCACATGTAAGATGGTGTGTAGATATACAAGTAAGGCTCTGCTGACAACTGCTAGACAGATGTGAGCAGAGCCAGGACCATGGGCCAAGTACAGAAAGCCCAATGCCTAACAAGGGACAAAACAAGAACCTTGCTCCAAGGTAACATCTTCCCCTCACACATCCTAGGTGGTGAAGTTTAGACCCTCTGACCTTTTCCTCCCTAAACATAACATCTAGGCTTCAGTTGTATTTCAGCTCCAGGCCCAGAAAAGTAGCAAAACCAGACAAGTGACACTGTGGCTGACCTCAGAACCCGCTCATTGACTGTGAAATGACGCCCTGCCCTGGCACAGACCAAACAGTGGAGACCACCACCCTGAAGAGCACACCCGGAGAGCTGATGAATATTCTATTGAGATCCTCCCTGAGACCTCCCCTAAGATTTCCACCTGCAAGAGAGAGAGATAAATGCTCAGGACAAAGGACCCAGTGGGCACTCTCCTATCCCTCTCTTCTTCCCCACAGGCACGCATCTCCTAACCTCTAAGGGAGCCCATGAGACTTGCAACCAGGAGAGCAATGAACAGCAGCCGCTCGTCCCAGGCTACCCTCCTGATCCTGTCTCCAAGGCCCCCTTTCCTCTGACTTTTCAGTGAGTCCAAGCAGCCCAGGCTAAGCTTCCCTGTTGCTTCTTTTATGACCTTCCTTGTTTCACTGTCCTAAGTATATTTTTGCTGCCGTCATGGACCCAATACCCTTTGGCTCAGTGCTGTGTACCACTTCCCTTTGGATATCTCCATCAACCAACACCTTTTCCTTAAATAAATTCAATTTTTCTTTTTTTTTAAAATATATTTTATTGATTTTTTACAGAGAGGAAGGGAGAGAGAGATAGAGTTAGAAACATCGATGAGAGAGAAACATCGATCAGCTGCCTCCTGCACATCTCCCACTGGGGATGTGCCCGCAACCAAGGTACATGCCCTTCACCGGAATCGAACCTGGGACCTCTCAGTCCGCAGGCCGACGCTCTATCCACTGAGCCAAACCGGTTTCGGCAAATTCAATTTTTCTTTATTCGCCATCTGAGAAGGCTACTTAGCCTGTCTGGCACCACTGACTTGAACCTTTCAAGAATGAATAAACTAGTGAACTTTATACTGCATGGAGGTTTTACCTCTACTAGATATGCTGTACGAAAATGGGGGTGAACTTAATCTGGGAAGACTTGGAATAAGAGAGACTTCATGCCCCCCAGATTCCTTTCTCTCTGAAACATTCATTCATCCACTCATTCGACAATTGGTTGAGTACCTACTCAGTACCAGAATAAATAGAATAGGATTCGTGCCCTCATGAAGCTCACCATGGTGCTGGGTGAGGTAGAGGTGGAAAGAGAGGTAACGAACAATAGTATATAAATAAATTCATACATTAATTAGAAGAATGAAAAAAAGCAGGTGAGCCAGGTAAGCTGGATCAACAGTGCATAAGGTGGGAAAAGCCTCACTGAAACTCTGAGTAGTGCCCCCCACACAGTAGTGCCTCAGAGGCACAAGTTGAAAGGTTGTTATAGCACATGCTGGAGTCACTCCAATCCCCAATTTCTTCTGTATCAAGAGGACATTCCAATATTTTTATTTGTCTTGAGTTGATTTTATCTGGATTTACATAATACCAGTTTATATATAGATGAGTTGACAAAAATCAAAGGTAGGAAAGAATTTCTCTGAAAATGGGTGTAAATGTTTTCTCATATGTACCAGTATTCACTCAACAGATTTTTATAGAACACTTAGTATGTGCCAGATAAAATTCTAGATACTAGAGATCAGTATTGAACAATACAAGGTAATCAGAGAGTGATACACTCATTAAAAGGAATAAACAAGGTGATGGCGATGAAACTTAACAGGGGTGGGTGGATAGGTAGGTAGGGAGAGGGTCTTTAAGTGTGACAGTTGGGCAGGCCTCCCTAAGGAGGTAACATCTTAGCTGATGCTGAGGATGAGAGAAAGTCAGCATGCCAAGATATTGAGAAAGAACATTCAGTTTAGGAAACAGCAAGTACAAAGGTTTTGCAGCTGAAAAGCACTGGAATATTTGAGAAAGAAAAGGCAATAGCTACAGGGAAGTGAGTGGTACCAGATGCTATTATTTGGAGAACCAGGCTGGGCTCGATAATGGATGGCTTTTATAAAAATTACTAGGGCCCCGGTTCACGAAATTCGTGCACTGGGTGGGTGGGGGGGAGTCCCTCAGCCCAGCCTGCCCCCTCTCACATACTGGGAGCCCTCAGGCATTGACCCCCATCACTATCCAATTGCAGGATCGGCCCCTTGCCTAGGCCTGACGCCTCTGGCAGAGGCGTCAGGCCTGGGCAGGGGACCCTCATTTCCCCCCATCACTGGTTCTGCCCCCAGCCCCGGCCTGATGCCTCTGGCCCAGGAGTCAGGCCTGGGCAGGGGACTCCCC